AGGCATTGTCTTAATTAGTGATTGGTGGGGGAGGGTCCAGCTCATTGTGGGAGGCGTCATCCCTGGGCTGGTGGTCCTGTGTTCTATAAGAATGCAGGTTGAGGGCTGGAGAGATGGCTCAGAGGTTAAGAGCACTGGCTGCTCTTCCAGAGGTCCTGAGTTCAATTCCCAGCAACCACATGGTGGCTCACAGCCATCTGTACTGAGATCTGGCGCCCTGTTCTGGTGTGCGGGCATACATCGAGGCATAATAAATAAATAAATCTTTTTTTTTTTTAAAAAAAGAATGCAGGTTGAGCAAGCCAGTATGTAGCACCCACACACACACCAAGACCTCTGTATCAGCTCCTGCCTCCAGGTTCCTGATCTGTTGAGTTCCTGTCCTGACTTCCTCCGATGATGGATGATGCTGTGGAATTGTCAGTCAAAGAAACCCTCTCCCTCCCCCACACTTTGCATTGGTCATGAGGTTTCATCACAGCAACAGAAACCCTAAGACACCAACTCTAGACATGGGTCTCTCAAACTACCTGAAACTCTTGCCTGATTCACATTTATTCATCCTTAAGTCTTACCATGGCTGGTTTCTTTTCAGATACACTGGAGCTAAGTGCCACCTGCGTGGACCACTCAGTTCTGCCAATGAGGGTATGCCCTTGGCAGGGTTCCACACCAGAAATCCTGGTGGTCTCTGCTTAACAGGCCAGGCATTTCTGATGTTCGGAGCATGTGAGACTGGAGTACCTTGACCTTTGGCTCCAAGAGACATGGATGAGAACAGTCACAGAGATCTTATAGTAACTGGAAAAATGGGAAAAAAATCCTACAAATGACCCAAATATTTACCAAAAGACACTACAATACTGTAACTAATACTATATACTACTTACAATGTTGCAATGGTTAAAAATGTGAATCTTGAATACATAAAAATAATATTTGGAAGTAGGGGGTGAAGCTCAAAAATGATATTGAACTAAAAGGTCAAGTGGCAGAAGAAATACAGATGGATCATTGTTTCCACTGTGGCCAAGACCACGGTGAAAGCAACTTGGGGAAGAGAGGGTTTGTTTCAGTCACAGTTTATAATCCATCCATGGGAAAGTCAGGGTATGAGCAGGCGCAGTCATTGGAGGTTGCTGATTCCTGGCTTGTTTCTATGGTTTGCTCATCCTGCTTTCGTATAGCACCCAGGATCACCTGCCCAGGAGTGACACTGCCTCCATGATATGACTTGTGTGCAAACAATCTGATGAGGGAAGTCTCTCTGTTGGAGCTCCTTTTTGCAGGTAACTCAAGCATGTGTCGAGTTAGCAAAAACAAAACCAACTAACCAAGACAATCATGCTCACATAAGATTATGATCGTGAATATTTTTGGAGGTGTGGAGGAAGTGAAACACACATACTGTAGTAAGGAGGCCACTAGTTAGTTCCTGGCCACTCAGCCCTGAAATAATCACACAGAAACTATATTATTTAAATCACTGTTTGGCCCATTAGCTCTAGCTTCTTATTGGCTAATTCTTACATCTTAATTTAACCCACTTCTAGTAATCTGTGTATCACCACATGGCTGTGGCTTACCGGCTAAAGTTCCAGCGTCTGTCTCAGGCTGCACTTCATGGCGTCTCTCTGACTCTGCCCTTCTTTCTCCCAATATTCAATTTAGTTTTCCCCGCCTACCTCTGGCCTGCTATTGGCTCAAAGCAGTTTCTTTATTCATTAATGGTAATCACAGCATACAGAGGGAAATCCCATATCAACATACTGCCACTAGGGGTATAAATGGTGTAGCCATTTTAGAAGGCAAGAAACCAGTATGAACAGGAATGGTGGTGTATGCCTATAATCCAAGTACTTTGGAGGCTTTGGCAGGAAGATGACTTCAAAGTCAGCCAGGAGTGAATCTCTTGGAAACAACAGAGGAAATATATCAGTACGAATGCTAAGAAAACTACCTGAAGCTGGACGGTGGGGGTGCCTGCCTTTAATTCCAGCACTCAGGAGGCAGAGGCAGGCAGATCTCTGGGAGTTCGAGGCCAGCCTGGTCTACAGAGTGAGTTCCAGATCAGCCAGGACTACACAGGGAAACCCTGTCTCGGAAAACAATGACAACAAAATGCCTGAAAAGATAAAAGCATGGAAAATAGTTGCTCCTTGAGTGTGGGAAAGGAGAGAGAGGCGCTGATTTTCTAAATTGCGACTACACTGAGACAATGGGCAGTAGTAAATGTCCCAGAAAGTGTACAATCTGAGTTCTGCCAAGTTTATACCAAGAAATCCCACCTGACTGAAAACTGCCCAACCTGTTGCCATGTATGGCACACATGAGGCACGGAGTCAGAACCCTAGGTCTTGCAGTCCTAACAACATCAACTCAGCCACTCCTCCTCAACAGGCCAAGTCAACAGAGAAGCAATAATGCAAAGCAGAGGAAAGAGATTTACTTAAAGCGGCTGCCAGGCCCAGGCTCTGACCACTGTGGGTTTGGAGTGCTACCTATTGTCTCCCTGAACCCCAGAGGAGGGAAAGCTGGGAGCTCTAGGACTCACTTCCTGCTCCCCTCACTCCAGACTCATGGGATCCCAGGCCTAAATGTTGCTGTACACACTCTCAAGGCATGGACATAGCCATACATGTTTGCCCACCCTTGACTGTTGGTAAAGTCAAGACTTTCTGAAAAGCATTTGAGAAAGGACAGCATTGCAGCTCCTCTGTATGGTCAGCAGAGGGTACACCAGAGCAGGCCAGCTGCTGCTGTGTGGTTGGCCCTAATCTGGCTGGCCAGCTGTGAACTCGGCTTGTTAAAAAGGACTCACTCAGAATGTGTTGGACCTCCACGTGGTTCTGAGATAATGAGAAAGAGCCAGGCTGGATCAGCAGGGGGCCTGCTCTCAGGTGGAGGGGTTTATCAGGCCTGTCAGCTTTAGGCCTCTGTGCCCAGCTGGGATCCCACCTACCCTTACAAGGGTGTCACCCCAGGGAGGTTGGACAAAGGATCTCCAGACCTCCAAGCTTCTGGCTTTTTCTCTGGCTTCTGCATTGCAGGGCTTCAGCCACTGGTTTGGGTGAGCCAATGACTGAGGCAAAGGACCTATGTGGGAGCCGCTCCTACTCATATCCCGAAATTTATTTATGCAGGGTTGCATGTAACACAGCACAGGCTGGCCTTGAACTCACCGTGTTGGCAAGAATGACCTTACACTTCTGCTCTTCCTGCCTATGCCTTTGCAAGTTTCTAGGATTACATGTATGCACCACCAAGCCTGATTTAAGTGGTGCTAGAGATTGAAGTCGAGCATTCACTAGGCAGGCACCCTACCAAACTTAGCTCCACCTCTCAGCTCCAAATAATTTTGTAAGCATAAACTTGAGATTATCAGTAAATAATTTAATATATATATATATTTCATGTACATACAAACCTGGGTCATATAAAATTTTCTTAGACTTTCAGAGATCACAAGCAGAAAGTTTAAAAAGGCGCTTCTCGACCTTCTCCATAGGCCCAAGACAAAGGGCTAGTGTCTGTCCCACAGCTCTGAGCGTTATAGCTGGGTCGGCGGCTATCGTCTGACTAAGGACTATGAACCTCTTCCTGGCACCTTTGGAAGTACGCTGCGCTGAACCCTTGCTGGAGGCATGGTCAGCTCCAGGTCAAATGCCAGAAAGTGAATTGTGAGGATGTAATCACCAAGGCTCCAGCGATGGCTACACAAGCCAGATGCATACAGGGAAATGAAGTTGTCAGCATAAAGACACAAGGCAGACTAGCTTGCTTAGAAATTTATATTTGGGTGGTGACCATACTGACAGAGGTTGTGCTGCCTCGTGGAGAATCTGTTGAAGACTCTGCAGTCCGCTGTGGAGCTGGTGTTCTGCTCTGGGTAGCCAGTCAGCCATCTCCCCAAACCACATTCTCATTTCTCACTTTACTGTGGGCTGCTGGGGGTGGATGGGTATGGAGGATAAAACCATACAGGTGGAGGAGTCTAAACTCATTTTGGAGGGGTTCTGGGAGAGGCTCTATATTACTGGTTGCTCTATATAACTAAGCTGGCTCCCTAACCATTAAAACAATGGGACAGCATCTCCAATTATCCTCCTCTTTCCTCTACCTTACCTGCTCCGTCTCTGGCAGAAGTCAGAGTACTGCCAGAGACGTAGCTCCCAGTACTGAAGAGCCAGCCTCTTGTCCCGCCCTCTCAGCAGTTTCTCCCTCTCTCCCTTCAGGCTGCCGCTTCTGCTTTGACTGGATCTATGGCAGAGGCCAGGCTGCCTCTGCAGCTCTTTGCCGACATCTCTGTCCTTCATGCATCTCTCCTGGGCTTGTGATGCCTGTTCTCAGAGCATCTCCATACTCCCTAAGTGAGCCCAGCCATCAAGCAGAGATGACGTTCCATACCACCGGAAGACAACAGTCCTGGAATTTTCCCCACAGACACTCTCCATTGCTTAAGCATTTTACCCTAGATGTCCCAATCACCGCCCCTTGTCACTATCCCGCACACCCTATAGAGATATCCACCTTGTCGAAATTTCCTCTGTAAACAACCTCTCCCCTCCTCCATGCAACTTCACTTGTTTAGTTTGTCTCATTCCCCATATCATGGACAACACCATTGCTCTTTCGAAAACCATACATTATGCTCCCAGCGGGGAGAGATAAACATCTCCTCCTCTGAGGGTCTCAAGGATAAACTGAGGCACAATTCTACCAAAGTTTACTTTGGAGAGCCAGTTTATGGGGCCCCCTTCCAGAGCATAGATGACTGGGTTATTACTAGAATGTGGGTGCTTTCTCCTCCACACCCCAGCAGGGATAACGGCTTTCTCAGTCACATAGATGGAGTCCTCCCTGCCCCTCCCCAAGTCCTTCCAGTCCTATATACTCCAGCCCCTCCCAGCTCATTCTCTCATGGACAACGGAGGCTTATCCATGGGACTCAGATTGGAGCTGCAGTGCTATCTAGCCACGGGAGATATTGGCCCCACACCCCAGGTTCCTCTCTGGGCTCTTTGTCTTCTTCCTGTCAGGTAGAGGATTGCTCTGCTGGCTAGCAGAGGTTCCTTGGCAGCCAGATAAACTCCTGGGACCACTCCCACCCAAGCTGGGTAAGAGACAGCATCGCTACTTCCTCCTCCTGGGTCCCCCTGCTGGTGAGGCCTAGGCTGCTGATGTCGATGCAGGTTGGCATGGGGCTCTCAGCTCTGCAGAGGGAGGGTGAGAGGAGGAGCTGAGGAGAAGTTGGCGGGGCTGTGTGTCTGTGTGTGTGAGGTGCACACCCGCGTTATGTGTAATACTGCAGTCGGCAGAACATAAAGCCTTCCACGGAATGACTGAAGCTCAGGCATTGTTCTCTCTCTCTCTCTCTCTCTCTCTCTCTCTCTCTCTCCCTCTCTCCCTCTCTCCCCCCTCTCCTTCTCTTCCCGCTTCCCTCTCTCCCCCTCTCTTCTTTCGCTTATTCTTTCTCTGCTTCCTCCCTTTTCCCCTTCTCTCTTCCCTTTCTCTTTTCCCTCCTTCCTCCCCTCCCGACCTGGAAGGAGGAAAATGCATTGAGTCCTCACTGGGTAAGTTCCCCCCACCTTAGAAGTTTCCCTTGGTGTGTAAGGGCTGCTGGAGGGGGGCATCTGGCTGGGACATGGTATGTGGTGGTCCCCACAGAGGTATCTGCAGAACAGGTGTAGTGGCAGGTGAGAGTCCTTGGAGACGTCAGGAATGGACCTCTGCAGCTCTGGCCCCCACATCTGGAAGAGCCCTGGGAGGTCTCTGGATTCAGCCCTGGTTACCAGTTTCCCGCTGACTGCAGAGAAGGAGCACTGTTGGGGTCGAAGCAGCTGCTAAATCCCGCAGATCTTGTGGTCCTCTCCTCCAGCTAACGGGAAAAGGCTGGTTTTCAAGAGTGTCCCAACCATGTGGATATGTCTGTAGGGACAGGCATGTCAAGTATGTTTCCATGTGAGCATGTGAGAATGAACAGTGTATATGCTTGGACTGTGGAAAGTCAGCCTGTGGTGTGTGTGTGTGTGTGTGTGTGTGTGTGTGTGTGTGTGTGTGTATGTGTCCATCCTGTACTGTGGGCACAGGGCATGCATATCAGGGCTGAATGTCAAGTGCGTACACAGAATTGTGTTGCACATGCGGGTAAGGTTTGTAATGCCTGTGTGGGCAGTCATTGTGAGTCAGGCACAACGTTTGGTTTGTATATTTGTGTGTGTATGTGTGGACCTAGATGTATGCTCAGCACAGGTACATTGCATGTGCGTAGGCACAGGAACGTTGTGGGTGACGTGTGTCCTGTGTACAGCTGTGTATTGTGTGTGGGTAGCATCTGTGGAGGTACAGCTTCTCCACGAACCCTGCCTTGTTCTGATGCTTTGGCCCCTGTCCTGGGGGCTGAAGTAGTGCCGTGGGACTGTGCATCAGGCTGAGCAGAAGTGGATAAGCACCTGACCTTGAGCGAGGAGATCTGCTCCCTGCTCCAGGTCATCTTAGGGTTTATGCCATACTTAGCTCACCTTTGCCTACTTGCCAATTACACCTACAGGGAATAGCATTGAGGTGTGGGCATGTGTATGTGTGTGTCTGTTGGGTATGTTGTATAGTGTTTGCTGTATGTGTGTGTTGGATGTGTTGTATAAGGTATGTGTGCTGTGTTAGTTGAATGTGTTGTATCCTGTGTCCTATTTGTGTGTAGCGGGGTATTTGCCTGGAGTCTGCACTGTGTGTCACATGTGGCATGTATGTGAATGTGCACTCTAAGCTAAAGCCCCATTTTGCTCCTGGGCTGGTGCCTGCCCTATCTGGACCCCAGCACAACTCCTTTGTTGTCATCCCCAGGGAGCCATTGTTCTCAGAACTCATACCCACTTCCTCCACTTGGCTCATCAAGTCTCTGTGCCCTCAGCCTTAGACACTTGCATTCCTGCAAATAGAAGATCCAGAGTTCATGAGGCTCAAGGCTGGAACTGTTGCTCTGAGCTTCAGGCTCAGCAGCTGAGCCCTCCCATGCTCAGCCGTAGGCTGGGACCACATCATGCATTTTGGAACATTATAGGACTGCAGCAGCAGCTGGGTCCCAAGATGGTTCTCCACATGGTGGCAGAACCATCCATCTCCCCATGCTGATGCTGCTGTATTTCCACCTCCAGCCCTGACTCTAGAGGTTTCCTTCATGTCTCCTCATTCTGCCCCACAGCGGAGGGTCCACAGTGCCTCAGACCATGGCCTCTCAAACATGCATCCCCCTGACCCCTGCATGGACTCCTTTCTTGGTCTTCCCACCTGAGCCCTGTCCCAGCATTTTCCCACTCCGTAAAGACTGCCCTGATGCCATCTAATGCCCTGTCATGCTATCTCCTGAGAGAGAGAGAGACCCTGATTTATCCTTATCCCTTCTCCAGCTACTGCTTGGCTGAGCCCTGATCCCTCTCACCTGACAGTTAACCTGGCCTCCTCACCTCTACCTGTGACTCTGTTGACTTTTCTGGGGTCTGTGGGTCCCATGAAGCCCTTTAAAGCTGCATGTGAGAGCATGTTGCTGCTTTGCTTAAAGCCACTGGCAACCTCTGCTGCAAAAAAAATAAACCCTGCGCCGGTGAGACTCACAGGCTGTAACTGGCCCTTTTCCCTGCTTCCTCACTCAGCGCAGGCACACAGTACCTGTCCTGTAGCCATAATGTAATGCACCCAACACTCTTTTCTGGGAAGAAGCTGCTGTTACCACCCGCTAGACAGACTCATGGGGAAACTGAGTCTTAAAGTTCCACAACAATAATTTTAAAGAGGGCTGGAAAAAAAAATGGCTCAGCAGTTAAGAGCACTGGCTGCCCTTCCAGAGGACCGGGGTTCAAGTCTGAGCACCCATATGACAGTTTGCAATTGTCTGTAGCTCCAACCCAGGGCATCTGATGCCCTCTTGTACCTTCCACAGGTATTAGGTATATGGTCATCCATTCAGGCAAAACACCCATGCACATAAAAATACAAAAAGGAAAAAAAACCTAAATAATATTAAAGAAACAGATGCAGATCACTTATCAAGGTCAAGGCCAGGGACATTTTAGGCTTCATTGTTTCTATGCTCCTGACAACCCTGAGAAGCAGGTGTGCATCCTTTCTGTCCACAGTGGGTGTGTTGAGGCTTAGGGATGCTGCAGACTCAGCAGCCGAGCCCTCAGTTTTCCTGGCAGAGAGCTTGACAGCATATAAGGTGCAGTCCCCTTTCCACAGTGGGCTGTTTCCTGCATCCACGCAGGGTGGAATGGCAGAATACCCTGCACACTCCTTGACCTGCCCCAATGCCGTATCCCTGCCACACAGCCCCAGGTCTCTGAATGCGGTGCCATGGGCAGGTATTTTTAGGATCCAGAGCCAGTCTGTAGTCCAGCCCAACCCATGGCTGCCTCTCAGAACTGCCTCTTCCTACCCCTCCAGGCCTGCAGGGCATCACAGAAAACGCCAGCAAGATGGATGGCCCCAGCAATATCTCACTGGTCCATGGTGATACCACGCTGGGCCTGCCAGAGTACAAGGTGGTCTCAGTCTTCCTAGTGCTCCTGGTGTGCACCACCGGCATCGTGGGCAACGCCATGGTGGTCCTGGTTGTGCGGACCTCACAAGACATGCACACGCCCACCAACTGCTACCTGGTCAGCTTAGCTCTAGCCGACCTGATAGTGCTGGTGGCCGCGGGGCTGCCCAATGTCTCTGACAGCCTGGTGGGGCACTGGATCTATGGACATGCTGGCTGCTTGGGTATCACCTACTTCCAGTATCTAGGCATCAATGTCTCCTCCTGCTCTATCCTGGCATTTACTGTGGAGAGGTAAGTACCCACAGGTTACCCCCATGCCTTCTCCCTTCCATTGTCTTCCTTAACGAGAATCCAAGGAGCCTGGATTCAAGCAGGGATTTCTGGTAAATTGAGGCTCCATTGAACCTTCTGTTCAGCTAAGCTAGTGTGGGGTGCTAGAAGAACCATCACAAATGTGGGCACTTGCTCTGCTTCTAGATTGCTATAGGGCACCAGGAAAGGCCTCTGACTTCCTGTGAGTCTTGATTTCCCATCCAGAACACAGGCACTTGAATGATCTTTTTCACCACCCCCAACTACTGGAGACTGAACCCTGGGTCTTCCACATACTAGGCAATCCATACCTCTAATCTTTAAAATAAGTTAACCTTGAGATGGTCTTTTTGTTTTGTTTTATTTGTTTTTCAAGACAGGGTTTCTCTGTAGCTTTAGGGCCTATCCTTTAACTAGTTCTTGTAGAACAGGCTGGCCTCGAACTCAAACTCATAGAGATCTGCCTGCCTGTGCCTCCTGAGTGCTGGGATTAAAGACATGCACCACCACCGCCCGGCAAGACGGACTTGTTCAGGTTGACTATAAACTTGTGATCCTCCTCCCTCAGCCTCTCAAGAAACTGAACAGGCCTTCGCTATTGTGCTCAGCAATGGTGTGTCTCTTGAATCTCCACCAGCTTGAATTTTTTGTTTATTTGTTCATTTTATAAGACAGGGTTTCACTATGAATACATACCGGAATAGCAAGCTAGCCTTGAACTCTTTTTGTAGCTGAGGATGGCTCAAACTCATTGGAATCCTGCTGTTTCAGCCTCCTGGATCCCAGAATTACAAGTGTGTACCACCATGTCTGGCTTAGTTCTGATTGTAACACACCAGAAACAAATGGTCCAAAGATTGAACATGCTGATCCGAAGCCTCAATTTGGGGTGGCAGGAGTTGAGACTTTGAGCTCAGCAACTTGTTAGGGTTACCCAGAATCTGAGCAGAGTTCAGGTCTGCCATAGCCAAACACTAGGTCCACTTCTACAATCCCCGTCTATGCTTGCCTGGGAACAAGTCAGCATGGGGATGTCTCATCTGTGCCATGTGATTGTTCCCAGGGCCCTGAGTGTGAGCAATAAGGAGATCTGCCTGTGAGGGGCGTACAGTGTAACTCCCCGCCTTTGGTGGGCGTACAGTGTAACTCCCCACCTTTGGTGGGCGTACAGTGTAACTCCCCGCCTTTGGTGGGCGTACAGTGTAACTCCCCGCCTTTGGTGGGCGTACAGTGTAACTCCCCGCCTTTGGTGGGCGTACAGTGTAACTCCCCGCCTTTGGTGGGCGTACAGTGCAACTCCCCGCCTTTGGTGGGCGTACAGTGTAACTCCCTGCCTTTGGTGGAGAGTAGCAAAAAATGCTTTGACCACATGTGGCATTCAAAGGCGACTTTGAGAGCCATGGAGTCACAGGACAGGACATTCCCAGGCTGCTTTTCTGTCCTTGGGAGGCTGGCCTTGTTCTGCCTGTCCTTGAAGCGTCCTCACCCTACACCTGTGCAGCCCCCCATTGCCCTTGCCAAGTACAGCCCAGCCACTCTTACTCATCCCGGCTCAGTTTGGGTCAGGTGTCTCAGACATAAGCCGAGCAGTCCCATGGCCCCAGGAGCCAACATGCCTTGCCTGTGCCCCACAGGTACATCGCCATTTGCCACCCAATGAAAGCACAGACTGTGTGCACTGTGGCCCGGGCTAAACGGATCATCGCAGGTATTTGGGGGGTCACATCCCTCTATTGCCTACTCTGGTTCTTCTTGGTGGACCTCAATGTCCATGACAATCAGCGCCTGGAATGTGGCTACAAGGTGTCCCGAAACCTCTACCTGCCCATCTACCTGCTGGACTTCACTGTCTTCTTCATCGCACCCCTGCTGGTGACCGTGGTGCTCTATGGGCTCATCGGGAGGATTTTATTTCAGAGCTCATTGTCCCAGGAGGCCTGGCAGAAGGCGAGACAACCCACTGGGCAGGGTGAGGGTGCACCAGGCAGTTGCTGCTCTAGATCCAAGGGCTCCATGTCCTCCAGGAAGCAGGTTAGGAGGACTCCTGGGTGCAGGTGGGGGTTGCATGTGAGGAGAATCATGGGGAGAGGCACAGATATGCAAAAGAGCATAAAACACACAGGGCATGACTGGCAAAGCGTCTAAGTCGTTTGGTCTTTCATTTGCACATACATACATGCATGCTTGCATACATACATCTGTGCAATGACTGCCAAGGCATTTCATATGCCAAGTAGAAGCTGGGACACAGAGAGAACATGGAAACAGTCAGATGCCCTCCTTGAACTACAAAGTGAACACAAGTCTGTCCAAGGATAGGCAGGAAGGAAACATGGGAACACATTTTGCTGGGGAACAGGAGTCAGGGGTCAGTTCAGGAGGCCTTACTAAGAGGTGACAGATGGGTAGAGCACCAGTGTTGGCAAGGAAGAGCAGCCAAGCCAGGTGCAGGGAAGCATTCCCAGAAGAGAAACAGCCAAGGTTGATGCTGAGGTGGCAAGCTGAGCAGAGAAGGACTTTGAATATATGAAATGGGAACATTCAGGAGTGGGGAGAGAAAGAAGGATGAGTAGCTGAAAATGAGGTGTGGGTGCCCAAAGTCACAGTGGGGACCCTATCTGGCACCAGGGACTTTGTAATAGAATTGTATCCTTGGAAATTCAGTATCTTGGGAAGCTCAGTCTGAGTCTCAGCTCTGAGAGATGCCCCGAGCCGCTGGTTTTGGCATCTGGTGCACATGGCATCCCTGTTGTCAACTTCTAGCTATGATTGCTGAGTGTGTCTCACAGCCGCGCCCTCCCGCCTTTCCTCCCCACAGGCCACCAGGATGCTGGCGGTGGTCGTGCTGCTTTTTGCCTTGCTGTGGACCCCCTACCGCACGCTGGTGTTGCTCAACTCTTTCCTGGCCCAGCCTTTCCTGGATCCCTGGGTTCTGCTGTTCTGCCGCACCTGTGTCTACACCAGCAGTGCCATCAACCCTGTCATCTACAGCCTCATGTCCCAGAAGTTCCGTGCGGCCTTCCTGAAGCTGTGCTGGTGCAAGGCAGCTGGGCTGCAGAAGCGTGCAGCATGCGTCACTGCCGGCAGCGTCAGTGCTGTCCAGGAGACCCCAGGAGGGACTGAGAAGATGCAGCTGGGCTCCATAGAGGCCTCAGGTCCCACAGCTGCTGGGTCCCTGCGTTGCCAGCAAGAGCCCCACTTCAGTGCACTCTGAAGGCTCCTGCCTGGCCCCTGACTCTGCTCCCTGTGCTGGCTTGCTCACTGGTCTGGTTGGTATCTGCTCTGAGCACTGCTGGATCGCCAGGAGAGGGACAGATAGCTCACTGCCCATGGGTCACCAGAGGTCCCTTTACCATGAAGGAGGACACTGGAATGTTCTCAGCTAGATCCTGTGTGGGTAGCTCTCTATTCTGAAGCCAGGCTGGTGGGAACAGAGAGGAAGCTGGAGACCCAGTCTTCACCCCTTCAAAACCTTTCATCTGTTCCCACTCATTACTTTAAGCATCTTTTGGAGTTTATTATTGAAGGAGTGTCCTTCCAGGCGTTGAGCACTGCTGTCCCTTGATGAGCCCATGCGTACAGGTTTCAAATGTGGTCATTGGACAGTGGGGGTTATACAGAATGGGTGTCCAGCCAGTCACCCAGGGCTGTTCCATGATGTTCATCCCTGGCCCCAGCATCCCTTCCAGTCTTCCATTAAGGTGGGCAGCCCTGTAAGAGAGCCCACCAAGCAAGCTCACCCACCACAGATGTGCTTGAAGGAAACAATTTGTCTTCCCAACCAGCACCAAGAAGTCACCTCTACCTCCTTGGCCCCAAATGTGCAAGCCTGGCTGTCTGGACCCTCTCTGCCAGTTGCTGTCCTGCATGCTATGCTTTTATTGGAGGCATGCTGCAGACTCAAGAGATGTCAGGAGAAGCCTCTGCTGGGAGCCAGCCCCATCACTGCCTACAGGACTACTGGCTGAGCCTGAGGACCAGTAGGCTTCATGTCCCACACTGTAAAATGGGGCCAGTGACCCTGCCTTAGTCCCAGGACCCCAACATTGAGGAACACTATAGCAAACATGTTTCAATACGCAGAAGTGGTCACCCTGACTGGAGACCTCAGGAAGGCAGGAATTGGTGGATGCTGGTGTGTGTGTGTGTGTGTGTGTGTGTATGGTGTGTAGTGTGTGTGTGTGTGCCCGCATAGCTGTACCAGGTGAGTCAGCCTACTCATACAGCTTCTGCCTTCCCGGCTGGATGTGATCCTACTGACTCATTCCTGCTCTGGGTACCTGGGCTACTCCAAAATAGAACTGACTTTTTAGGGGCTCTGATTGCTGAGTCTGGTTTTGTGGGGTAGGACATTTAGAACCTCACATATGGGGGATTAAAGGACCTTACTAGAGGGAAAGTCAACACAACAGTTGGGGGTCACCCAGAGCAGCGGGAGCCCTACCTGAGGCCTGCCCATGCCGTGGTCTCCAGACTGAGGGGCACGTTCTTTGGACGCCCCCACACCAGGCTGGCTGTGCTAGGGCAGGACTTGCTCCACCCTCTACCTGAGCTGGCTGTTCCTGCCATCCTTAGAGCCCCTTCACCCTGTGACTTCTTCTTTACCACACCCATGTGACATGCACGTGTCCCCTGGCGGATGTGGCCAGACAGACCTGATCCCTAGCTCCTCCCCGTCTCCTGCACTCTGAGATCAGAGCTTACATGAAGTAGATGTGGGGGGCAAACATGGAGGTAAGGCAGTCAGATCCAGCCATGATCTCCCAGGCTGCCCGGTCTGCCTGTGTGCTCTGCAAGCTCCACCCGGCCCAGACTTGTGACCTCTCTCTCTGACTGTGGCCTGGACAAACCTTGCTGACATCAGACACTCCAAATATTTTCCTGTCCTATCTCATCTTTCCTAGTTACCCACTCCCCTGAAGCACAGCACCAGGGGAGTGGCCTTTGTCAAATGCAGACCTGAAGATCACATTACGACAGGCCTCTTGGTGCGGCACACTGGGTAGTACTCACTTTCTTGGGTGAACTTGGTCTTGTAGAGCCAGCTCAGACTGGCAGAGCTCTTGAGGTCTGCTCCATGCCATCCTCCAAGACCATCGCACGTCAACTGGGCATCCAGCTCTAGCCTCCCGTAGCTTCTCTCTTGTACAGCATGCGGTTAGTGGCCCCTCCTACTCTTGGCTTGGAATCCTTTGTTTGGTAAAGTTGTTGGTTGGCTGGTGAATGCTGCCTGGGTATATGGTGTCCTGTTATACTGAGTTTTCTCTGTGACTTTAACCTCTGGATGGATGAAGCAGGCTAGCAGCCCCAGGACTGCAGGGATCTTATAAAGGATATAGTTGTTCGGCCACTGTGGACTCCTGCCTTAGAAGCAGGCTGCCTGGGATATGCTGAACACCCTGGAGGTGAAAACCATGGAGCAGACCTCAAGAGTCCCTCTGGTCCTGAGTCAGCATCTGCTTTACACCTGTGGCAAGAGCTCTGTCCTGGGAGGCAGCTGAGAACCCTCGAATGGGAAGATTGTAGAGAAAGACTTGGGAGACACGAGCCTTCCTCAAGACTGCCCAACGACACACAGATGTTTGTAAATGTATAATTTGCTCGTATGTAACATAAAGTCTTTTACATATACACGAGTTGTGCTTGGAGCAAGCTTGGACAGCCTGTCTCATGCATGTTTTCTCTGGAGGTCAGGTGACTATGGATGTCTACTCCCAGGCTTGGGCTCTGGAACCTTCTTAGGTCACAGCACACTACAGACACCTTGTCTCGCCCATGAGCCATGAGACCCAGGACGCTCCAGGACCTCCACAGTCAGGTGCACCGACTCAGCCCTGAAAGATGCTGGCCCATTCTATGACATGACGACCCCCTCCCGAGGAGGCGAGGTGCTTGCTCAGGAGTTCCCACGGACGAGCAGACACAGCCAGTGAGGCGTGGGGTCTGGAGGCGCAGGAATTAGTCTTCAAGCACAGGGCCTGGCCGCCCCATTGTCACCTGCGGTCCATCTTAAAATCATGTAGGTAATTGGAAGGGCCACCAGTGTGGGTATTGTGGGATTTGTCAGCCCATTTCATTCCCCGCAGCTGCTGGAGCTGCAGATGCTAGAAGACAAAGGATCCACTAATCTTTCTTTGAGTGTCCTGCTAGGCCTACAAGGGCAAACAGGAGAAAAAAAAAAAACCCAAGGAAACAGTTTAATTCTTGTTGGTAAGAGAGGAAAGGACTTCCATCTTCATAGTTATCTTACTCTATTCAACCTGACCTGTTAGTTGCTTCCTGTGCTGGGTTTCTTTGTTTTGTTTTTCACATTTTTAATACAAGTTTATCTATGATGAGGTGGGGGGCGGGGGGGGGGCGCGTGCTCATGACTGCAGTGCCTGCAGAGACCAGTAGAGGGCAGTGTAGCTCCTGGAGCTGGAGTTACAGCGGTTGTGAGCCACGCTAGCGTAGGTGCTGGGAGCTGAACTCAGGTACTCTGCAAAGGTAGCAAGGACTTTTTAAGCTCCTGAGCCATTTCTCCAGCCAGGTGTCTGTTTTGCTCGTTACGTTGATCCAGGCTGACCTTGAACCCTAGATCCGCCTACCTACAGCTTACGCACTTAGGAGCTGCTCTTCTGAGCTGCGTCAAAAGCCCGGGGATTCTGCCTCACAGCGTCTGGCAAGGGGAGCTCATGGATGGAACAGGGAGGGGCAGATCTTGAGAGTTAGAGTCAAGCACAGGAAATATACAAAGCTCAGGGCGCCCGACCAGGTGGCCTTCTGTGGGGCAGTGCGGGGAAGATGACAGCTAGAGCTGGCCAAGGAAGGATGTCCCAGGATGAAGACCTTACAGAGGAGAGAGCCCCAGCCCTGTGCCAGCCACTGAGAAGGAAAGCAGGCAGTGCTGTCTCGTTGGCTCCCCTAAGACCAACTGGAACGGAAGACAGAAACAGCTGCTGTTCTGGGAAAGGGGTGATTTGATTTGGGAAGAGGCAGGGAAGGAAGAGAAGTGAATTAAAGGTACAATATGGAGACAGTCGCACCTGACTTGGTCCCACTGGGGGCCCTTATGTACAGCTGTGAGGTATGTCCTCTGCGTCCTCCCTCCTAACGACAGATGGCATTTGTCATGACCCCCATCTTCATTGGTTGATGGCTGTCCTGGGTATCAGTATCAAACCCCTATTTTTGTGACCTCCATTCTGTGGCAGAGAAGAGCCAAGTGACTTAAGGGCTGGGTACCCACACATGGCAATGGGTTGGAGTGGGGCTGAGGTAGGTAGTGGGGCACCCAGAGAATCCACTACAGGCATGGCATCACTGAGGCCCTCAGAGCACACGGTCCCTGATCTTGAGTGCAAGAAATGAGGAAATACTTGGAGAAGACACCATGTTCAGAACAGACACTGTGCCAGATGGTGCCACCATGATGAGGGCAGCTCAGGGAGTGAGGCGCTTAGTGGGTGTCCCCTAAGCAGCCTACGAATGACATGGATGCAGAGGAACAGAGGCTCAGCTCCCCTAGACAGACTGGAGAAAGCTGAGCTCACAGGGCTCACACAGGCCAGGGCCACCAGAGGAGACCCACAGCATCAAAGCTTGGCATATCAAAGCTCCTGTTTCTCTGCTGGGAAACCCAGGCCCTCAAAAGAGAAGGAACTTGCCTGTCTCTCTTAGTAATGCTGTCCTGGGTCTCATTGCTTGATGCCTGCAAGAGTGACAGTCTCTCATGGCCAGGTCCCCATGGGGCGTAGAGGAACTGCTTGTACACAGCGCTGTGGCAGGTTTTGTAACTCCTGAAAGTGAACGGGATTCCTGGTCTCTCTAGGTGGTGAAGGTAAAGATTCCACAGCCTGTCCTGGCCCTGAAGGTGCCCTTGACCCAGGATGCAAAGGTCAAGGTGGGAGGAGCTCAAGGGTTCGGCCACAGGGTGCCACACAGGATATTTCTAGTTCAAGTGAAAACCAGAATTCAGACTGAGCCCACGTGTCTGGTGCTGTTCTGATTCAACACTGAAAAAGGCACTTAGGGAGAGGCCCCTAAGTGGGACCAGGGGGACCCACTTCAAGATAATGAGGACCGCATGAGAAGATGTGGGAGGGAGGGAGATGGCCCAGGGAGTCTCCAAAAGGTCGAGGGATCAGAAGTTGGGAGAAGCAGGCATGGCTGAGGAAGATGGAGCCTTTGGGACCGGGGGCGGGGGTGGTGGTGGTGTGTGTGTCTCTTTAGAAACCTTTGATTCTGAAAAGGCACAGACCTGGCAAATAAGTGTCCACTGTCCTCACTTGTGTTCATACCAATTGCTCAAGGCACCAGCTGGTTGACACCTCTAGACCCACTGGTTTCTGGCTTTTCTCACAGCCCAGATAAAGGACCAAAGGCACCACTTCCCACTTCCCACTCGGTGTTCGGTTCCCACCTGCAGGCAGCTGAGGCTTGGCTTGCAGATTCTGTTCTGCAACCCCGACCGACTCTGCCGCCCACCCTCCCCCGAAGCTAAGCAGGACAGTTTCTCTGCTCCTCACAGCCGTCCATTCCACATGCGCATAAATTATCTTTTAATTGAAAGTTTATAAGCTCTTTAATCTTGCTTATTGTAGCTGAGATGATGTGTGTTTGTACAGCTTTATTGAATAACGGATGCCCTTGCCTCCCAAATGCCCATTTAGTTTGCTTTGCAGTGGTGGTGTGGGAGGTGTGTGTGTGTGGGGGGGGGGTAAAGGCCCCACATCTACATGCTTAAAGACTGTGGCTTTAGGGGATAGGGGCATGGCTTAGTTGATAAGGTGCTTACCACATGAGCATAAGGAGCTGAGCTCAGATCCCTGGCATCCATGAAAAAGCTGGGCATATTGGTGCATATCTGTAATTCCAGGGTTGGGCAGGGAGAGGCAGGAGGAGTTGAAGGTACCAGGATTCCAGCAGACACAGAACTCAGAGTTGTCGTCTGCGAGCTGTCAAGGAGCACACACAGACACGCGGCATGCTTGAGCCAAAGACTGAAGTCAGCCTGGGCAACAGAGCAGGAAGCTATATCCATAGTATAAAATAAAAACTGGCCTGCCACATATTCATCAGCTAGTAAGTAGTCAAACAAACATGGCAACTCCACACAGTGCAATACCATCCAGACTGGAAAAGAATGAGGCACCAGCACGCTCAGCAGGGAAGATCTCAGGGGATGCAGTCACAGGCTCCGAAACACCCATGACAGAATCCAGAATAGAGAGAGGTTTCCAGGTGCCTGAGGGCTGGAAGAAGGGCTAGAGGCATGCATCCTCATGTGCTCAGAGACCCTATGTGATGGTGGGAAGGTTCTAGAGCGAGGTACAGGTGAAGGCTATACGGCTTTGTGAATGACTAAATATTACTCACTTGTGCTTGCTCAAGAGCAGAGAGGGCGAGTCTGGGAATTTTATCTCAGTTAAGAACAAGGTGTACCGAGAGACAGCTGAGGGACGTGGGCTGTGGAATTCCCCCCTCACATTGCCCTGGTAGGACACCCTAGTGACCTTGGTTTACAATGCAACAACTACAACCCTCTCTAGTATAGGCTCAGGGCTGAGGCCAGTTCTGTTGCCCCCTGTTGTGGTGTTTAGTGACCCCTGTTGGCCTCGCAGACAAAATTGAGACAATGTGTCTAAGACTGTAAGATAAACGGTAGAAACAGTAACCATGTTGCAAACCCTCCTGTTTGTTTACGGCACTGGGGACAGAACCCTGGGTCTTCCTCATGCTCCTGGGGCAGCACTCTAGCACTAAGCCCCCAACAAACTTTGCAGAGTGCATTCCTGAGGATCTGAACTCAGGTCCTTACACTGCAAGGCCAGCCCTTTAGTGACTGAGTCAACTCCCCAGTCTTCAAAGGCTCCTGTCTGGGGTGGGGGATAGGCTCAACAGTTTCATGTCTGGATGGACGACCAACGCTGTGCAGAGAGCTGCATCTAGGTACCAGATGCAGAGACCAGAGATGTCTATACTCCATTTAGCCAATGAGGCCTGAGAGTCCTGGAAGTGAGCCCCATCTTGGGGCTCACAGAGAAGATGGGGTCAAGTACACTCTTATAACTTCCAAATTTCTGACCTTTGGCTGATGCCACAAAGGTTGGTAATTCATATAAAGGTAGCGAACACGCCTCCTCATCCAAGGAAAACCCAGGCCACATCACATCTGTGGGGAGGGCTGGCAGGAAAGGGCAGGCGACACAAATTTGGTAAGGCTCTGGAAAATGGGAGCCCTCACACAGCCCCACAAGAAATATCTTACAATGATTCTAGAGTTTTCACAGAATCAGAAAATCCAATCAGGTGTACCCAAGAAAGCCAATAACAGAGGACCACACAGACACAGCATCCTTGTTGCTAAGATGATACCAGCCAAGATTCCAGAGCAGACGCTGTACACCTGTGAACAGGAAGCACTGAGACCCGCCACAGCATGCGTGACCTGAGTTTCTGGAGCCCAGTCAAAGAAACCAGACCCAAGAGACCACTCTGTATGCATGAAGTGTCTGAACCCCCAAATTCACAGAACTAGAAGGCTGGTTAGCAGATGTTTAGAGAGGGGTGGGGAAATAGTCAATGTCGTATCTCTTTTTGGGGTGATGACTTTGTTCTAAAGTTGAACATGCACCAC